TCCCTAAGAATTTCAGGTCTGAGGAGCAGAGCAGCTGCCCCAGCGGGTCCGTTCCAGAGCCCCTCTGGCACCGCTGCAGCACGTGCTGGTGGCCAGCACCAAGCTTTGAAGGATCACCCAGGAACTGTCAGGGCTCAAAAAATCCATGGTGTTGCTTCTGTAAGAGACTTATGACTACTCAACCCAAGGTCTGTGTGAATAAGTAAGTAATAAATATTTCCCTGTCTTTTGCTTGTGTTCTCCAAGTCAGAGAAGGCCCTTGCTCAGGCTCAGCCAGGGATGCTGGGAGGTGAAGTCCAGCCTCTCTGGTCTCGGTGCAATTTTTAGGAGGGATGGTGTGATGGGAAAGAGGCATCACTGGCCAGCCCAGGAGGTTCCTTCTGTCCCTGCTCCCCAGTGCACAGCCACTGCTCTGCACTGCTTGCAAAATCACATAGCAATTCTGGTTTCTTTCTGCCTTTAATGTCTCTTTTCCCTGGCTTTTTTTTTTTCTCTCCCTCATGTACTAATTCTTTCCTTTGTTCTGTGTTCTTCCTTTGACCTGCCTCCTGAGCACAGCTAATTAAATTGTACTTTTCCTGGGACTGTAAACAAAACCCTCCCTCTTAGTCAGCGTCAATTCCGTTGTTTCAATGAAACTCTTTACAGCAATTAGTAATCACGCAGGATGATTTCATTCTTCAGTCAGCGAGTGTTACAGCCCTGATGAAATATTTTGTGGCCTTTGGGTTAGTGCCAGTTCATTTCCTGAATTAGTATCTTTATAATAAAACCAAAGAGAAGTTCTCAATGCACTAAATTTGTCTGCCTGCATGCCCTCTGAGGCTGATGCCGGTGTGCATCCTGCTGCCCCCCCAGCCAGGAGGGTTTTCAGCTGCCGGCTCTGCAGGTGCCAAGCGCCGAGGGAGAGGTGGGACAGAGCTGGGGGAAGAGGAGCAGCACCGTCCAGAGGGGAAATTGCTGCTGCTGCCCCTTACCGCTGCTGGCAGGATTTGGTGTAAATTATCTGGTGGAACTCCATATGGATGGAGCCAGCCTGGATGCCCAAGTCCTTCCTTCAAGCGCACGGCACAGCGGGTCCCTTTCTGTTGCTCTGCAAAGGCCCATTGGTGTCACAGCACATGTCACAACTGCTGAGACAGACCAGCGGCTCAGGGCAGCACAAGCAATGCTGGAAACCTGGGTCCCCTCCCTCTGCTAGCGATGAGATGGGAAACCCTGAAAGCAAACTACCCCATCTGTGTCCCTCCCTGCCCCCTGTGCGTGTCCCCCCTCCTTGGAGCAGTGGCACCCATGGGCTTGGGGTGCTCGAGGGGCTCCCCCCGAGCCCAGCCCCCCAC